ATTGAACAAATAAATAATCATTTTGGTGCAATTTACAAATTCTATTTTCGACTACCTGAGGGTGGTGCAAATTACATACCCTTATTTTGGTGCAAATTACAACCACTATTTTTGGCTATCAGCAGTRGTGCAGATTGTACATTATCTTTAATTTGGTGCAAATTACAAACTCCTAAATATTTAGATAAATATCCTGTACAAATGTGCAGTATTTTTTTTTATAAATAATCAACTTTGTTAAAATAGCCACAAACTTATTATTCTATATTATCCATAGATATAAATATCCATAGCCTAGGAATGCCTTATTTTAAATAATTAAAAAAAATCTGTGTTCATAGACAATAGGGCGGTAAACACAAAAGCCGTTTGTTATCAAATGTTTTTAAAAAATCTCCAAGTTTTATGGACGGTGAAGTCTCTCTGTAAAATCGCGCCTTATAATGTCACCAGAACGACAAAAATGGCATACACGCTGAACAACACCCAAAAATGACAATCATCGTCGTCATCGTTATTACAATATTATATTTAATAATATAGTAATCGTCGTATGGATAYGTGAAGTGATTATTATTAATATTGTTTTAAGTTGAAAACAATTGTGATAATAATAATTGGTCCGCGCCACGGCAGTGTTGAAATAATATATAATAATAATACTGCAATAACATTATAGACAGACATGCGGACAAAAATATAATATGTTCTAATATTTTATTACCACTCGAGTCGAATATAATAAAAATAATATTCGTATCCAAGTCGTTCCAATAATACAATATGCATTTACGCAGTTATATACGACGTGTGTACTCAACAACACTGTATTGATATTATATTAAAACATTGTACGAGTTTGTACAACGACGATATCAAAATAGAAATAATTGGAACGGCTTATCACGAAACGTGATGTGTGTAGCCATGTCAGCAATAATTATAATTTATAATAATATACATAATATTCGTGAAGAACAAAACGTATGAATAACCATCAAACATTTTACGACGCACGTGTACATGATATAATGTAATAATGTATAAATAATAAATATATATTAAATATATATTATTTTGATCAAAATGAATATTGTCTTTATGATGAAAAATTTTTTTTCTTTAATTTCGTTCAACTAAAATATATTATAATAAAAATGATGTACTTAAAAATATTAGAAAATAATAATAATAATAATAATAGTGAGACGTACAGAGTTTTAAATATTTATATACAAGTCATAATCATCATGAGTATAAAGTCCATTTTATATTATAGATCGTACAAATAATAATAATATAATATACGCGTATAACCTACACGCATATAGATATAATGTTTAATAAACTATAAATATATAATATGTGTAACGACGACGACCTTCGAAGCGTGTACCTACTGTACCTGCGTACCTCCGATCGGTCGTCAATTACAGAAATTAAGTACACGAATGATAAACATTTTGCCATTATTATTTTAATATTTTTTTTTTCGCCGACATTGACTTTTTATCGGTTTTATTTTTGGATGGAACGTGAGCATTCGGAAGGAATTACTAACGTACAAAAAAAAAAAAAGCTGGCGGGATCGTGACACCACCGCGACATTACAAATAATATAATATTCTATTGAGTTGTTATAAGACGTATATAATATAAATTTGTCACTATAGGATTATTAGGATTACATAAAGGTGGCGGGGTGGGGGGCGGGGCAGTGACAGTATAAAAATGTGAATTTATCACGGGGGAGTGGGTGGATCGGTTGGTGGGGGAGGGTAGAAGGGAAAAACGTACCCACGGACGCACACGACTGGTTTTTTTTTTTTTTTTTGAGAAAATTAAGGGATGACTAACACAAAACTCGACTAGACCTTTGCAGGACCATCGTCTTACGTATTGTGATCAAATATAATATTGCAATAAATTATAAACGGTGGTCGTGCGCGTGGCCGACGTTGATGGCAGTGGCGTTGATCAGATGATTGCCTTGCCCAGTGGCGCCGTGTCGTCGTCGTCGCTGTCCTGCGAACCCGGTTCCTTCCGGAGTCCRGTGGCGAAACTGTGCAACAGGTCTCGGAAGACGATGCCGTCCATGTTGCCGGACAGGTAGTACATGAACAGCCAGTCGGAGTACGTGGTCTGCCTGGCGATGACGGCCAGGTCGACGGGGTCGAGGCGAGCACCAGGGGACGCCTCGCGCAGCAGCAGCCGGTTGAAGGACTCGTGCGAGTGGAGCATGTACTGGGCCACGCGCCACAGGAGCGCGGACACGCTGACGGGCAACAGGACGAGCACGAACCAGAACCACAGGACGGCGTAGATCTTCTCGTTGATGATGTTGAGCGCCATCACGCACATGGCGTCGTGCGTCTGCATGGTGCCGGACGGCCCAAACTTGTGGAAGTCGCACTTGGTCATCTTGGGAAACACACGGTCGAACAGCCTGTTGCCGTTGTCGTCGTCGAACGCGTGCAGCCCGTAACCGTAGAACTGGCCGCCCAGGAACTTGTCCATGAGCTTCATCTGGAAAACGACGTTGACCAGGTTGAGCAGCTCGCACCCGATGAGCACCGCTGCCCAGTTGCGGTTCAACCGGAACCGGGTGACCGTGTCCAGATGGTTCATGACGTCCCGCATTTTCGCCCACCTGGTCGCCTCGGACGGTATGACCCTGGAACCGGGCACCGACACGTCCTTGTCACCGTCCACCTTGATGTACAGCCGCTGCAGACCGTTGACGAGCAGCGCGATGGTGCCCGACTCGTACGAGCGCCATATGAGATGCGGCAAGTAGAACAGCAGCGCCTGGCCGAACAGCACRAATGGCACCCACTGGTAGTACGAGTGCCGGACGGTGTGCGAGTCCCAGTGCACGGGACCGACGCCCGGGTGGGCCGAGTGGTTGGTGTCCGGCACCGTGTACGTGGCGGTGAAGAAGCAGTACGTGTTGACGACGTTGTTGGGCACGCCGGTGGCAATGCACCGGATGTGCTCTCCGATGTACTGACGGCTGCACACCAGCGTGGTGCACGCCAACAGTATAGCGAACGTCAACCGGTAGTGGACGCGGAAAGCCGGGTTGTCGATGGTCACCAGCTTGATCCGGGTGAGCCGGGATTGGCTGACGACCGTGCTGAACACGCCGATCATGGCGAGATTGGGCTACGAACCGGGTCTGTCCGTCTGCCGAGCACAGAAAACGCGATAAATGTAAAACGCTCGATTACGCGGGACCGCACGTTCCGGCGCGGGAGAAAACGAAAATAATGCACAAAACACGCGTAGACGCTATCGCGCGCGTAACACTACGANTAACTATTAAAAAATTATCTTGACAAAAAATAAAAATTAAATAATAAATAATATTGAAAATGTCACACCATTAATAGGGTAATTTCTTTGATCAATTTACTAATAAATTAAAATTTTAACCAAAAAAAACCTTTAGAAATTAGTTTCGSGTTTTTCAAGCATATAAAAAACGATTCCAGCTTAGGTTCTTGTTCATAATTAACACGAATTTCCCGAAGTTTATAACCGGTTTCAGTCCGATTACAGATTCTGCCATATATTTAGGATACATTTTATCATATACATAAAAATACGCGATGCATATTACTGTAGTTATTTATATTTTTTTCAACGGAATTGGTATATTCTWTATGTATTTACTTTGAGAAATTGTTTATTAAATAAACATCATTTTGTTGCTTACACACTACGATCGAGTAAATTCTCATCGTCATAAATCATAATAATAGAATATTAAAAATACATAGAATAAGAAGTTTAACACAATAGTGCACCACGGAATAACGTTGGAAAACTAGTAACTACACTCGATTAATAAGTTCCGGTGTCTCTTAAGTTTCTACTTTTAATATTATGGTCTGTTACGTGAAATCGTGTCATTATTKATATAATAATATATGCGCATTATAAATTATAATAAAGTCCTGCTAAATTCACAAACCTTAAATCCCGCAGCTATTAGTCGCAGATTTCCATTCGTATTTTTGCCGTTCGCTGAAAAACTATGTTTATTTTGTGGCCAAACTAGTTGGAATTGGGCGAAGATAAAAAAAAAGAAAAAAATACAACTGAGAAGTGTAACATTATAGATTCCGGATCATTAGTCAACCGTTGGGTTTTCAAATGTCGTCGTAGTGATGTGATTCTCCTCTGGCGTACAATAATTAATATTATTATCGTCGTCGAAATGTCAAGCTGGACCCCTATAATAATAAATCCCACTRGCCACTACATACACACATACATCATATTGTTATTATAAGCGTTGGTATTATACTTGGCTGTTTGGAATACGAGAAACGATCGTCGTGACTAGACATAAAATAATAATATATTACAATACACTAGCTATTGTTTATTATAATACGATCGCTTCATCATCAATGGCGTGTTTGTTTACACGACTGAAGCTCCGTGATCGTCGTACCCAATAATCGTAATCGTCATCGTCGTCCTCGTGGAGGACTGTGGGCACAGTGGTAATATTTTTACTATTCAAATCCAACAAGTCTGCTCATCGGGTAGGCGCTGTCAGGACTAACATTTAGTGATTGCTAGATGGGAAAATATGCTGATTAACACAGAGACAATAGGAATCTGATAGGTTCA